ACTGATACTGCGCAGAACCCTCAAGCTTCCTGGCCTCTGGTAGAGGACCCGAGCTGAATGGGGGATGGAGACCACCCGAGGGGTGAGACAGGATTTTTTTTTTTTTTTTTTTTATAAATCTAGTTTATTCTTCAAAAAATCTAGTGTGCATAAACCTTGTGTACAGCAGATCACTATAAACAATTGAAAGCTACTCTCCAGGCTGAACAGAAAATAAGATACTTTACATTGTGTTCCAAATTGTTAGTCAGATGTTGTTTTTGTTCATTTTCAGAAATAGTCAATGTGATTTACAGTGAAAATGCTATTTAGTCATCAACAATTTTAATAGGTTCTATAATAATCTGTCTTTTAAAAAAAATGTTGACAGCAGTATTAGCATTTGCTGTTATTGTTCATTTTCTTAAATAGTAATAATACGTTGATAAGTAATAATTGACAGTGATTTTTAATTTCACAAAAACAAGTAGAGTTGTACTGTGTTGAACACAGAGTCAAGAGGAGGTGAGTCGCACAGACATTGGAAAGAAAATCAAGGAAGGTATACAGGAAGCAGCCCGCAGCACCATGCACCCTGCTGAGACAGTTTCCAAGGGAGGAGGAGGATTGGGCAAGAGCAGCGCATTCCAGGCTATCCCACAGGTGAAGGGGTCGGGGGTGGGGATCAATGTCTTTCTCTATAATTATGCTAGGATCCATCCATCTTTGCATTGTTGTTATTGGTACCCAGCTGACTGTGACATGAGGGAAACTGGGACACGATTATCATTTGTGTCCTGTAATTAGGGCACGAACACAATTGACTGTCTTGCACTCAAAGAAAGCTGAGTTGTATGAGCCAACCATCCATACAGTGTGTTGAGTCCATGAAGAAGGAGATTGATATTAGCGACGGACCTTGAAGAGCTCTCCCTCAGATGAGGAAGAGGAGTGATCTTTCTTCAAAGGGAGCAGATAGTGAAACAAGAGCAAGCCCGATGAGTAAGTCAAACCCGCATAATACTTTCTAATCTGAATTACAAAACGGTACGCCTTTTGGTGCATCATCGAGAATCTGCAATCTTAAAACTATGATTTTGTAATGCAGGGAGGTGTCGGGTGTTGTTATACACAAGGACTCCAAATGGTACCAGCGGTGGAAGGACTTCACTGACAATAACATGGTTTTCAACAGTAAGTAGGCTATTCGCACATTTTTTTTTCAGCAACACCGTATTTACTATGCTACACTTGTACCCCAATCGCCGGGCCTTTTGGTACCGGGTCACACAGAGACAATGAACATCAACCATTTTATTCATTGTGAGATTGCAAACAAAGTTTTATTTTGAACATTGTGTGCATCCACCTGTATGTCGGTACTCATATCCAACCAAACATCGGTAAGGTCATAAAAGTAAACCCAGAAACGAGGAGTGAAAACAAATGTTTTTTGAGAGCTTCGGAAAGAGGATAAGGCCAGGTGATGATGAGACAGAAGAAGAAGAGGAGTGTACTTTCCCAAGAAGAGAGCTGCATTTATGAAACATAAGAAACAGCCTTAGTTAAAATCTGAGTTTATCGCTACAGGTGATTGTTACGCATTAAGCTTAGCAAGATACGGCGACAGGCTTGCAAATGAGGGATGAAAGGCTTTAAAACTGTTTGGCCACACAGGGACCAAGCAATTGCCGTTCAAATACAAGCCTGGATTAACATTAAGGCAGGGCAGTCAGAGACGGCTTACAAACAAATAAAACAAGCAGTTGAAGCGTTAATCTGGTTAATGTGCCCCCGCAGGTTCAAGTTTAACCTTGAATCCTCACACTGTGTTCTTAGCAAAGTTCTGCGCCTTCTTTTTGTTCTCCGCAGGGCTCTTTGAGATGAAGATGAAATGTGACGCAAGTGACAATGTCCTTGTCCGAGGATCCAGGGCTATGACTGAGCGAGCTGCCACCGTCCTTGGTAATAACCTTCTCGTTCTCACAGAATCAAAAACTGCGCTGGAGCTACCAAAAGAAAATCTTCGTAGTGTTGTTTGTGTTTTCTACCTACCGTAATTTCTGGACTATAAACCGTTACTTTTGTCACACGCTTTCAACCCAGAGGCTTATAGAGGGTTCCGTCCTTTTAGCAATTACCCACAATGCACTACCGGCAGCCATATTGGAGGGCTGTTATAGACAATATGGCCGCCGGTAGTGCATTGTGGGTAATTGCTAAAAGGACGGAGCCCTGTATTTAATGATGCGGCCTGTTAAGAATTTTCCAACTGCCGCCAGGGAGCGCTCGAGCAGAAAAGGTTATTATAATAGTGAGACGCTATCATGTGTCACCGTAAAATCAACTGGCCATGAGAGGGCGCATTTCACCTGTGTTTTGAGCTGTACTGCATCTGAAAGCTGTGTGTCTGGGTCTATGACAGATTTGACCGAACACAAAGTAATTTTTATGAAGACTTTATTCACGACTGAACATAGAAAATGTACAGCATTAATAAAATAAAATACTGAGATATGTCAAATGGAATTAACAATAGAAAAGTATACAAAAATAGACAACAGTAGAAGCTTGTGAGCACTTTCCAGCATGTTTCATGTGCCCGAAACATGCAGGAAAACAACTAATCTCCCCTGCCTCACGGCTGTTCACACAACCCACTGTGCGACACCGTTCAAACTCCCAAACGGCGGGTTTGATCCAGTCAGTTCATTTATTTTTACTGAACCGCCCTGATGAAGCCAATGCAATTTCTGCCGCTTGAAATATCAACTTGGCCTTGACACGGTCCTCTTCATCATCCTGCTCACATTTGGACACCACAAGACCAAGATGACAGCCAACAATTGCTGAAAAGTACCTCACAATTGCGAGGTTTCAGACACAAGATGTTCTTGGTGGCCATTGACCTTTCCTGTTTCATCAGTCGCATACAAATGGTCGAGTCATGGGTCAAACGGCTGTTGCGAATGTTGTAGTCTAGCTCCTTGTTAGGGAATAGCAAGTTGTGCCAAAACTGGAGGTCAAACTATGTTGAGCTGTAAAATTGATTGTGTTTTTTAGGTTCGTCCCGAAAACTCGAGATCCCGTCTGTTTTTGTGAGTCGCATTTCTGTTCTCCTCTCCTGAACAGGACAAGGTATTGAGGACCAGGTATGTTTGGGCGCTATGTTGTGACCAGGACGAGCTGAATCCCAACGCAGTGTGGAGGCTCCTCGACATTTCCGCGTCCAGCACTGAGCAGCTTCTCTAGGAGGACAACAAGTGCGGAGGGGCATCTCAGTGGAAAGACACACAAGCTGCGAGTAGATGTCTGCAATACCTGCGTGGGCTCATGCTCGTTTAAAGGGGGACAAATCCAGGTCATTTGTGGCGGATTTGCACACAATTTCTCCCTCACAGTCAAGAAGCATAATGTGCAGGCACAACTATGAAGTAGGAGACATCTTTGACTCCTTGGCTGCTCATTAGTCAGCTCTCGATTTCCACGTTTAATGTTGGCCTCCGAAGACACAGCGTGGCAAAGGATGGTCTCCTCGCATGGCACGGCCAATCAACACCAGCCAGGTGGCCACCCACCAAGGGATTGGTGATAGTTTATTTTTATCACGTGATCAGTGTTTGTCACCATGATGACGATTCAAACAGGGAAGACTATTCAAACACTGCAACAAACGAATGACTCCAGCATGAAGTGTGTAAGCACAAATGCATGCAAGATCATTAGCAACCAAGACAAGAAGCGAAAGCTACCTGTTTCCCCGGTTAGCTACATTGCAAACGCTTAAAACTCATTCAGTCCCAGCCAATTCTGGACCAAGTCTGAAAAGACGTTTAAAAACGTCTTTGGGAATGAATGAGTTAATTGGAGCTGTGGGCAAATGTATGTTGGGTTTGAAGGATGGGAGGGCTCAGCATTCATCGCCTGTCCATTTTTGTTCGGGTCTGTGTAAAGCCTTTGGAGAGGTTTGGTACCTTAGAGACCGTGCCCTAAAAAGCATTTGCACTCCTTCCTATTTTCTGATGTGTTTTCTTTTTCTTGCTTTCAGGGGAAGTCAATTCAGAAATGTTCTTTACAATACAGGCAATACGTTCTATTCACCTCCACCAGTCTAAACGGGGCATTCTAATGAACATTGGATTTGTGAAATATGAATTAAGCAGCAAATCCACCTGTTTTCATCCATCTCAGGGGGCGGCCGTTTTGCCTTTGACTCCCGCTTGCTGTCGACTGAAAATGATGTCAAGGTGCCGAAGGGCTCAGGAAACCACCGCCACCACTCACCGTTAATCTGAGTTTGGTCATGTGATGTCAGCAACTGAGCCCTTCCGCACTGTGATGTCATTTTCAGTCGACAGCAACTGGCCGTCCAAGACAAAATGGCCGCCTTCTAAAATGAATGAAAACAGCTTTATTTTCTGCTTAATTCATATTCCCCAAACATAGTAGTCATCAGAATGTCGTAGTTAACAATGTATTTTTGACTTGACTTGACCTTCAAATCTCACGTTGAAATGTATTCTAAAACACACCTCTAGTTACAGACAATTTGACGAAACGTATGTACAGTATCTCCAAATTGGACAAACACGAGGTTTTACTCTAGTGTGTGGTTCTAGTGTCTTATGTTTGGAAGCAGCTCCAAGATGCACATGGAAGCACGTGCTGAAGATTGCTTGAATATCAGTAAGCGTGTCTCCATTCTGCCAACATAGGCTATTTTGACCCTGCGTACCATTAAAGTGTGTAGTCAATATTTCATTTGAGCCGTCCAAAAAGGTCTTTGTTTGCACACAATGTCATGTCTTTCAAGCTCATTCAGAGTCAGTAGTGGATGCGTTTTTTTGTTTTTTTTTCCCATGTGCAGCCTTTGTTTTTCTCATTTCAACACTGACATGCTTTGATAGATGTCCTTGTATTCAAGCTTGATAAACTGATGAATTTGGTAGTGCCATACAGGGATGATAGATCAGGCTTTGAATAATATGTGCCATAAGGTGCCAATACGGGATATGCACGACCTCATTCCATCGCTGTCTGTTGTGATGAATGGCCGCGTAAGAGACCGGGCTCTCCTTACAAAGTCTTTCCGTGCTTGTGACTGTGATTTTTGAAACAGCTTTTCCAATGGTGTAATGTGACCAATGAGAGCATTGCACAAACAATGTGAAGTCAGAACTTTGTTGCGCTTGATGCTCTGTTCTGCAACCCTGAGCTGTGAGTACATGTCAAAGCTGCAGGCAGTGCAGTCATCACTTCGTACAGCATGTTCTTTGTGGCACTTAGCCTCATACAGTAGACACGGGACCTACAGCATTGAAACCCCATCTTGCTCCCCTTGCTGCTTCAAGGCAAAGCCGCTCGATAAAATGGCAACATCATATTGTCAAATAAGCAGATGTTAAATCCTCTGTGAATACCCGGAAGCTTGTAGCGTCTTCCCTTGCTCATTTGTGCTTGCTCCCTTGCCTAAAAGTGCTCTTTAGTTTCTTTGAACAAGCAACAATGTAAGGGGATGCAGGTCAGGGAGGGTTTGGACCAAGACTCCTTCAGAAATATCAAGCGTTAAAAAAAATAAAATAAAAACAAATCACTTCAATTCTACATAGAGTACTTGAAAAATAACCACAGATGAAACAAAGTGATGTTTGTGGATAAAAATTGAATATAAAACATTTTCACTGGAGCAATCCCTGCAATTTCAGCTATTTTACTGGATTTTGACTGATTTGCAAGACCCACAGATTATTGTGCTCTATTGGGATATAAACATGCAGCCTACCAAACGAACAATGAGACTCTCTTCTTTCAGCTTTTTTTCTTTAGCAATCGGCATTAGGAAATAGCTAAATTTCAGCACATTTCCATTTTCTGACGCAAAAACTGGAGAAAAATACCTTTGTGTAAAAGAATGCAGTTCAATCATACTTTCGAGTATGGCACCACTATTTTTTGCTTTTGTGACAGCTCGAACATCTCAATCGGACTTCTCCAAAACGACACCTCAAAAGGGCTTTTCATAGCAAATATATTTATCCACATGCGTGTTTCCCCTCCACGCTGCAATTTCATGCGCGTGCATGTGTATCCTCTTCACCCTGCAATTTATGCACATTTTTTGTGCGTTATAAAAAAATTGGTATTTGCCCTGACACAAGTCCACACAAGATGTCTTCCAGCCGCATTCTGGTTTCACTTTGCGAAGGCACCTTCGCTGCGGTGTGACTTTTGCATGAGGCAGACGATGTTCTTGCACCCGGAGCCTCTTTTGATGGCTGCTTCTTATTTTTGCGGGAATGAAAACGTTCTATTGCTTTGAGAAACTCCTCTCCGTAAGCATGGTGGAAGATTTGCTTCTCCCCCAAAAGCAATCCTCACGGGTTAATTGTTTTGATTTCTCCATCGCTACTGGTCTGAATTAGTGATGTGTCGTTCGCGAACGAGCCGGCTCTTAGAGCCGGCTCTTTGAAGTGAACGACATGAATCGGCTCGTAAGAGGGAGCCGCTTTAATGGGAGCCGACTTTTTTTTTTCCTCCTGTTTTTTCCCCCTTTCGGTTAAAGCCGCACGTGATTGGTCAAGATCCGTGGTAGAAGAGGGAGGAGAAGGTTACACACTCGCGCACACACACACACACACACACACACACACACACACACACAGACACACGCGCGCGCGCTTCAGTGAAGAGAAGGGGGAGGAGTCAGAGAAACAGCAGCACACTGTGAGCAGCACACGAACAGGAGAGACAGGGAGACGAGAGAGAGCTCGATAGCGCTACAGTACAGAGAAAAAACTACACGGTGGAAAGTGGAAAGGTGAGAAAATGGATAGG